ACAGCATCAGTTACCATGGAGACATAGCTCCGCAGCATCAGTTACCGTGGAGACATAGCTTCACAGCATCAGTTACCATGGAGACATAGCTCCGCAGCATCAGTTACCGTGGAGACCTAGCTCCACAGCATCAGTTACCATGGAGACCTAGCTCCACAGCATCAGTTACCATGGAGACCTAGCTCCACAGCATCAGTTACCATGGAGACCTAGCAGTTTTAAAGGGAGACACCTTCGTGACTCTGAAAACTCTGACTTTAGGCTCAACACACCTGCTGACACATGAATCTTCTGAGAAACAGACTTTAACCTGCTGCTATGAAGCATCACTGATAGAAATCTACAAAAGACAAACTGGAGGAACGTGGAGCTGAACATCAGCGAAGAGTCCAAAACCAGAAAACCAACAACATCCAACCTACAGGGTTCGATCAGCAGCGCCGCTGTGTGCTGACGTTGTTTGGACGTTGTGTGGACGTTGTGTATTCACTGTCGCAAGTTGCAGCTCTGCAGATTAACATAACACTAAATATCAACAATGTACTTCTGAGAATAAAAACACGAAATGTCTCCATCCACCCAAGTCCTCAGAGGCTCTGTATGAATGTCCACCATGTTAGTTCCTCACTGACAGGTTCTCTATCATCTCCTTTATGTTCCTCACTGGAGGAGCTTTGGTCTGTGCATCTTTCCATGAACACAGGCCAAACAGTGAGGTTGTAAAATCTCCACAAGCCCGGCTCTGCCCACTTTACGGGAATAAACACTGATACGATGGTCTGATCTGCATCAGCTGCTTTATCCAAAGAGGTTCTGTGGTCCACATGCGACTTTCTTTGCAGACTCATCTGCACCTGTTGGAGTTTGAATAGAACCTCATGTCTGTGCAGATGGATGCAGAAAGCATGAACTTGAAAGACGAACACATAAAAGGACGGAGGGATGGAGTCACAAACAGCTGCTGAAACAGTTCCAGATCTCCACAGTCTGACAGCAAAACCACAGGAAGACCTGAACCAGCTCAGGAGGACCTGGAGGATCTCAACCAGCAGGAGAGGACCTGGAGCAGGTGAGGAGGCCCTGAAGAACAGCAGGCTTTGTCTTGTGGTTCCGCTTTTCTGCCCAGCTCTGGTTTAGGACCGATCATGGTTTCGAAAGTTCAGGACAGGGTGTGATGGTCCTGGTGTCAGGTGAGCACAGGTCATCCTACAGGTAAATAGATATCCCGTCTAATCTGTTCTCACCTGGACTCACCTGGCGCACTTGGACTCCTCACACATCAGTTGGTCAATGACCTGATTGTTTGAATAGCAGAACATTTATATGGATCGTCATTTCATCAGAGGGCAGAACTTTCTGGCCAATTCTGAACAATGAACATGATCAGTGATGTCAACTGTGACCACAGTCACCTGTGCAGGTGAGTAGGAACCAGGTTACCAGGGGTTCAGTTAGGATCCGCCCAAGAAAAGAGATGGAGATACTGTGGAGACCTGGACTGGGTTTTTTAACGTCTGCATCAGAACCAGCCAGCAGGAGGCGCTGCAGACGCTCTGCAAACAGGTAGCAGTATCACCTGGAGTGCAACACCCCGGCTCGGTCTGTCTAGAACCCTAAATAACCTGCAGCAGCAGGTCCAGGTGTCATCCCAGGTGAGTGCTGCCTCCTCCTGGAACTCGGCAGCTCAGACGGAGGACTCGCGGGCAGTTTTAGACCGCAGCGCTCCAGCCCGGCTCAGAAACGGGAAGGTGGTTCCGAGGCAGCCGGATGCCACTGTCAGACCCAGACTGGCCCAAGCGCAGCAAATGGACCAACCATAGCCGTGATCCACGTCCGCCGGCAGACCGTAGATGAAAGGTGGGTTCCTCGACAGGTCATACGTCACACTGGCCGCATACGTGCACAGAGAGATGGTGCAGAAGATCCCTGAGAACGGAGAACCATGTTAGAGAACAGAGAACACATTGGAGAACAGAGAGCAGGTCAGATCTACGCCAAGCAGACATAAACAATCTTTAAAGGATTCTAAATGAGGCTCTAAACAATCACAGTAACATCAGCAGACCGTAGAACACAGGCTCCTTCCAAAGACCTGGCAGCTGTGGTGTTCCTCTCATCTCACAAAGGTTTCACTGCAAAGAACCAAAAGTGGTCAGAAGCCTGCTCTGGTGCTCATATCTCAGCATGTTCCAGGTTCTACAGACTGAATCTGATGTTCTACTGATCATCATTAATGCTCCCACACATCAAGCAGGAACATTTTCTTCACTGACTTGAGTTCTCAGTGTCCATGTTTTTGCAGAGAACCATCGCACAAGTTGAAGAATCTGCTCTCGTTCTGATTGGCCTCCTGCACTTATAAAACATCCAGGAGACGTCTGCTGTAAGCCCTGACTGTCGCCAGCAGGGGGAGGCACAGGCCTGCCGGTAGAGACCAGGTGTGTTCCTACCTGCCATGAGGAACAGCAGCCCTGAGACGTGTTGTGTCAGACTCTCCTCCCAGAAGAAGCCCACCGACGCCACAATGCTGCCGCACAGCAGGACGGCAGCCGCCATGCCCAGGAAGCCGGCCGTGATCCGCCGCAAGTCTGCACAGAGACATGTTCCTTATATGTTGTACAGACGTTATACACATAACATACACACATTTTATGTGGTTTATACACATCACATACATGTTATACATGTCCCATTAGGTTATTTATATGTTATATACATGTGGTCTACAGGTTAAGTATAGGTTATATTTGCATTACATACATGTTCTTTATATGCTACAGACATTACTTACAAATTATTAATATGTTAAATACACATTACATACAGGTTAATTCTATGGTATACACATGTTACATAAGTACATACAAATACACACTATAACACACAGTTACACATGTACTGCACGTACACACAATGCAGATAAACGTGCTATATGCACGTTATAAACACCAGATAAACTGCACATACAATATACATACATGCAGCCTGCAGTAATGAATGTGGTAAATGATGGAACAGGGTGTTGCCGTGGTAACTGCCCACCGCCCTGGCTCTGTGCTGTGCATGCAGTGTTTCCACAGAGCAGAGAGGAGACGTAGTAAAATGAAGTTCAGATGGAAGCAGTGGAATGTCTCCGGCGTTGGTGGGACTTTGGACACATGTTGGACATGTTGATTCTAGGATTGTACATTTCTATAAAATAAGAAGTCAAAGAAACGTTTTGCTTCCTCTGGTGGAGTCCTGCTGACAGAACTCTGAGTTTTCTCTCCTCCTTCATGTGGTTCTGGTTCCATGAAGAGCAAGACTTTATGTTTTACTGAAAAATGTGACAGATCCACAGGGTAGAAATGAATCACTGAAGTGCTCATTTCTCAGAGTTCAGAGGGTTAATGAGCTCAGATTTGAAGCCGCCTCATGTTTGCAGGGTCAGGAATCTGAATTCATCTCCATGGAAACACCTGAGGTGTCGAGTCCCGTCTCGAAGCGTTTTATCCTCCATGTGATGAAGCCGCCGACGGTTTCCTGCTTCTGTCAGATGACAGAGTCTGTTTCTGTTCAACTGATACTCTGCAGCTCCACAGACACA